CAGCAGGAAAGGATGCTCACTAAGAGAGGATGGCCTCTCCAAGCTGGGTTTGAGGAGCACCACGCAGTGCAGAAGAATAGGCATCTTCCCCAAGGCACCAAGGTATCTCAGGGACATGCGCCCTAAGATATCTTGGGAGCCAATGAACCTTGAAAAAATGTGTGTCATGAAGCTTTTTCCCTCCTGGCCTCCATGTGAGGCATTTGAGTAAAACTGGTAAAGCCTAGTTATCATTGACGTGACTGTGAACTCAGGTTAACGTCAGTGAAAGAAGTGCCGACTGAAAAAGGCAACATTTTCGTCTATCCTCCAGCCCAGCTGTCCTCCTTAGAGCTTTGGTCAGGATGGTTTGAGAAAAATAGTTTAGCATTTACATGAAACCATTGCCTTCCAGATGCTATGTTTGGGACTTCTATACAGTCTCTTGATTCTTTTCTACCAAATTCTGTTTCAAGGGTAAAAACAGATTCACTCCTAGCAAAAGGCGTGTGTGAGTGTGTGTATTTCTGTTGGAAGTGTTTGAGATTTAACCAGTTTCTCTGGGATGTTTCCCCTAAGATTAAATTCCCTTTCCCTCCTTTTACTTTAGCAGCTGGCATGTTCTCTGTTGTTCTAACTGTTCTCCCTCTTTTTCCCTTCCTGTTTTGCTCCATGATTTCAAATACAGAGGAGAAGCCCAGAATAAAGTAAGTATGAGGGGAAGGGAGTTTCAAAACCCTGGGATTAGTTTTCTGATCTAGCAGAAGCCCTTAAATTGTCTATTAGGCAAATGGCCACTAGAAGCCTTTATCCAGCCCTCCCTTATGCAACATCCAGCTATTCCTGCATGCCTGTCCAGGATGCCCGCTTCTGCCAGAGGATGCCTTAGCAGTAGTTACTGGCCAGGGTCTTAAGACGAGTTCCTGATAGAGTCAGAGGACTCGTGAACTGTCCAAGATACAGTGATCCCACAGTACCCCAAGATACAAGTGGCTCAAAAGTAAATCCTTTGTGAGAGGCCATGGCTGGGAAACTACCCATCCATCCAGGACTGCTGATGGTAGGAAGGATGGCAAATGCTGGGCTGGGCTGACTTCAGCTTAACTGAGGTTTCCTATGGACCTTCTGGCTCTGGGTCTCAGGACCTTCCCTTCCCACGCTGCCAGCTGCCCAGAATGGAGCGTGTAGCTGACTGCCTTGCAGACCAATGTCTTTTCGTGTGGTAGGGAATGACCATAGGGTTTGGAAATGAAAAGGGTTTTTTAGGGGTAACTCCCTGCCCTGCATGACCTTCCATGAAGGACAATGGCCCTTAGTGCTGGTCTGGAGTAGTTTTCCATTGACTTGCTGTTTCACCCCTCTGTGTATCTGTCAACATTTCTCCTTGTCAGCATCGTTCCTGAAGGCAGGGCAGGTCAGGACGTCCTATTTAAAAAGCTGCCTGTTCTTTAAGATGAAAATCCTTTTTTGTTTGTTTGTTTTTGTTTTGTTTTCTTTTGTTTTTGACTCTCTGCAGACTAACTGCTCCTAAAATACCAGAGGGTGAGAAAGTAGACTTTGATGTAAGTATTTCTGAGACTGGCTGTTTTTGTCTGTCTGTACCTGAGCCATACACACATGAACCCACTTAACTCCTCCTGTCCTGGATATTCCTGAGGATAAAGTCAAGGACAAAAGTATGGATGCTTTGCTGCCTGTTTTCAGTGAAAGGCTACTCTCTGCTCCCTGATACTCTCTGGATGCATTAGTTGATAATGTGATTAAGCTAAAATCCTGTATTTCTTCTTCTTATCTTTGAATCTTTGAAGTCAATATATGAAGAAAGGAGAAAGTAAGTGTTTTAGGACATCTCAGATGCCCTGTGCCATTGTTGTAAATGGTTTGAAAGTTGCAGGCTGAAATAAAGCAGGCCTATACACATCTGTTGCTGAGAAACACTACCTAAAATGACAACAGAATTTTAACAATAAACAGAGATCCAAACACCTTCCTAGAAAGTTGAAAAATGAAGAAACTCTGGTGTTGAAAATCTCCACAGAAATATCTGCTTTGCCCAAAAATGCAGGAACATTTTCTAGGTAAGATTCATATCCCAAAGCAAAGAGAAGGCAGCTAAGTATAATGCAAAGAGGAAGTAGCTAAGCAAAGCCAGGAATAAAATATGGTGTAGGGGAATGGGAGATGTGGATTCTGTTCCCTTCTGGGCTCCTGACTGTCACCTAGATGAGTCTCTGACTGTCTCTGGCCTGCATCAACAGCCATTTAAGCTAATCCCATAGAATTCCATGGATATCTGCAGACAATTTCTGCTTTTGTTTCTCCGTGTAGGGTGCTGGGGATGTCCAGTGCATGTTCGTAGAGCAATATGGCATTACTTAATGCATTTTCCTGCTCTTCTAGGACATCCAAAAGAAAAGGCAGAACAAAGACCTGATTGAACTGCAGGCCTTGATTGACAGCCACTTTGAAGCCAGGAGAAAGGAAGAGGAAGAGCTGGTTGCCCTCAAGGAGAGGATTGTGAGTCCTTGTACTGCCATTTCCCTGTACTAGATTGAGAAATCCTCTGTAGATGAGAAGTTGAATCCATTAGTCCACTGTCAGACTTTGGCAGAAAGCTGTATTGGTGTGTACAGAAGTGACTGCTCAAGTCACCACCAAATGGCTTCTTCCCACATCTGTCCCCTCTCTCAGCCTCTTGTTTTACACCTGGGAATTGCACAAGAGACCCTTCTGCATGTTCTGCCAAGGCAGTAGGTAGCTCACTCTCCATGAACCAAACTGTTGGCGGTGGGGCATAATACTGGATTTAGATAAAGGCACAACGATGACTCGTTGCCTCTGTCACTGCTTCTTTCAGGAGAAGCGCAGAGCTGAAAGAGCAGAACAACAGAGAATCCGGGCTGAGAAGGAGAAGGAGCGTCAGGCAAGGCTTGCGGTAAGTGTTTTTTTATCTCTCTCCTTCTCATAGCATCAAACTGGAGGACCTCTCTAGAGACAGAAAAAACCTACAGGTTCTGCCTGTCACTGTCTGAAGAAGAAATGACCATCCCCTTAAAGCAAGGACAGGAAACAGGAGTTGCCAATTCTCATCAACATGCTTCTCTGATCCCATTCTCTGCAGTGACACTGGCTGCTGGGGAAGCTGTGAGTCTCCCCTAGAGTAACCTGCTTCTGTGTGTCATACTCCACAGGAGGAAAAGGCACGCAGAGAGGAAGAAGATGCCAAGAGAAAAGCTGAGGATGATCTCAAGAAGAAGAAGGCTCTGTCCTCCATGGGTGCCACATACAGCAGCTATCTGGCTAAGGTAAAAAACACAGGGTTGACTGGGAACAATTTTTATTACAAGTTGAGAGAACAGCTCAACTTTCCTTCTTCTGGATGCCTAGCAGTTTGTCTTATATGCTCTGTCACTGAAATCGCTTAATTCAGACTGAATTTCTGCAGTCTGATGTTAATTGATGTTCTGAAAATAGGCTGATCAGAAAAGAGGGAAGAAGCAAACAGCTAGAGAGACAAAGAAGAAGGTCCTGGCAGAGAGGCGCAAGCCACTGAACATCGACCACCTTAATGAAGACAAGCTGAGGTAACATGCTTATCCTAACTTACTGAATGTAATAGACTGAAATTTGGTCTTATTGTCCTGGAATCTTCTCTAAAAAAAAAAGGTAGAGGAGAGGGCCTTCCTTGAAATTCGTCGTGGAACAATGTTAAGTTGTGCCCTTCCTTGATCTGGAGAATGGAGGGGAAATAGGGATGTGGGGAACTATTGAAATGGTTTGGTAGCCATCTAGCCATGCTCCTGGCCTAGCTCCATTTAATTAGGATTAGTCATTTGTGGGACTAGGAACAACTTTAACCCCAGTTGTGAGATTAGTTGAACAAACCTACAGATCGGAATCTGTAACATTCTTGGCGGTGAGTTAGAGCTGCTAAGGTATGGGTACAGATCTCCATGGAGGCTGAAGGCTTGGGAGCTGAGTGCTCTGGTGCAGAGCAGTCATCAGATGATAGTCTGGGCTCTACGCATTGGAGTTTACACATGATTGAAAGATGAGGTTGGCTCACCTCAGCCCTGAAACAGACGAGATGATTGCACAATGGCAGCTGTTCTGCTAATCTGAGTGGCCTTCAGAGTCCTCTTCCCTTCTCATCTGATTCCCCTGGACTCTCTTCTCTCATTAAAAGTTAGGGGAAAAATTAAATCTGTAGGAAATACATTAGTGTGTGACACATGCAAGAGTGCAAGTCTAAAAGGTTCTTGGGTGAGAATGTGAGCAAAATGTGACCTTGAAAGAGGTGAGTAGCTTTCAGAGGACAGAAAGGGTTTGCAGGAAGATGTATGAACTGCATTATAAAAAACATAAAAGTCTTATTACTAGCGATGTGAAAACCGTAGAAAATGTATGATGTGATGTGTTTCTCCCATCTTCCTTTCCCCATAAATGCACAGGGACAAGGCTAAGGAACTGTGGGACTGGTTATACCAGCTGGAGACCGAGAAGTATGACTTTACAGAGCAGATAAAGAGGAAAAAATACGAGGTGAGTTGGGACGCCATTTTGCTAGTGACACTGGGTCCAAAATGTAAAAATCCCTGTGACTCCTCTGGCAGAAGCCATGTGGTGACATCATTTGGGTCTCCAATGCCCTTTTGCAATATTTAAGCAGCAAGGCACCTGAAACTGCATTCCCCTAACATACATACCTGGACTGGATTTCACATTTTAGGCTGAAATTGAATAGGCCACTCTCAAGGTTTTCAGTGCCCCACAGAAAGGCAACCCCAATGGAAAACGGACTCCCCACCCTCTGCCCAAACATATCTTGTTAATTCTTGTTTATCTATAGGTAACTGTGGCCTGAAAATTCAGTAACTCTCAATTAACTCATCTCCACTGCAAACTAATATTTTTAAACCCATCTTTGATTTCACACTTGAACGTTGTAAGTTTTATTCCCATCCCAGGCAGATTCCTTGTGGACTGAGCTCTCTGGAGTCACTGAAAACTGTCTCCAGGCAGGAGCATCTGACTGAAGTGTCATATGGTAGCAGAAAGTGGATGTATTTCCTTCACAAACAGTCACAGGACAGTGCTGCACTCACCTATGTCAGATTTCAGTGGCTGAGAAATCCTACCGGATCTCTCTCCGTCTTGCGCTCTTTTTAATTCCCAATCACACAGACACATGCTGACAGGAAATGAGCAACACCAATTTAACTATCTCAATCTCTCTTAGATTTTAACAATGCGTTGCAGGCTGCAGGAGCTTTCCAAGTTGTAAGTACAATGAACTTGCCTGTGTAACAGCAGCAGCAAAGGCTACCAAATGCATGAGCCTGCCGCATGGTCAGGTGCCAGACAGAAACTGGCACTTGGCTTCAAGTGCAGAGAGAAAAGAGACAAATGGATCTTGTGTTTCTCCTTTCACTTCCTTTTTCTCTCCCCTTCCATTCTTTGAAAAGAGATGAAGTGATAATTTAGGAAAAGACTCAGGGTCCAGCAGGGAGGTGGCTAAAGAACTGAGCACACAACCCACTCACACCATATCTAAAATGATTCCCTATCCAAACCTCTGGTATGATGTGCATGGGGAAGTCACCCCATGCAGAAGCTTAGAGATGCATGTGTAATAGCTTGGACTTAACAGAAAAGAATGGTACAGGATTTGGAAAGATGCTCCACCTTCTGGACCCATGCTTATCCAGACCCAAAACATTGGAGAGGGCTAGCTTAAGGATAACAGGTCAACTGGATGTGGAACACCAGGAATTAAGGCAGTGCCAGGGGAGACATGCATGCTATGGTAATGAAACCTCTGCATAAACAAAGAGATGGGTGGCTGATGATGAAAAGCAAGGAGACAAAGTACAAAGAATGAGCAAAGTAGAAGGAAATTGCACAGCGGAGATGGGAGAAGAAAAGTGGAAGAACAAAGGGAAAATGACAGCAGAAGAAAAAAATAAGGAGAAAGGCTAATTGAAAACAGGAAAGGCAATGAAGGACACACAAGCAAGGATGCAAGGGAGAGACAAAGGAAGGAACTGGGACACGCAGGAGTGGAGCTGTTCTTTAGCTCTAGTGTCTGTTGCCCGTTGATGCTTCATTGGAGAGTGAGTGTTATAGTCATTATCACAAGGTTATCAGTGAAGGTAAGTCTTAAGTCCTTGGGTCAAACTGAAGACAGCTGGTTCTCCGCCACACTTGGGAAAAATACTCAGTTGCAAAAAATAATTTAAACCGCTGCTGCAGATATTAAAACTTCCATGAGTAAGTACAAAAGCAGGTGATCTGCTGATGTTTTCCTCCCTTGTGTTGTCCTGTTCCTGCTAATGTTTCAGTCTCTTATTTTGTTTCTGTTTGCCATGGAAAGACAACATCCAGAAAATACCAGTTGTTGGGCCCACTTGAATGTTTGACTTTTTTTTTTTTCTTGTTTCACACACGGGGAATGTCAAGTGCCACTTTAAATATTCAAATATTGGGTCATCAGTTCTCTTCACTGCAGAGCCAGTGGAGAACTTTGAATTACACCAAAAGCAGAAGCAAAACATATGTCTTGGCAAGTGCATTTTTCCACCCCAGGAAAACCAGGTAGAACCTTGACTCAGTTCAAGTAAGAAGGTGAAGGCAGCAAAAGAGGGCTCTCTATCAGAGCCTAGTTCTTGTAAGCTTTTCCAGTACCTCAGCTGGAAGAGTCCCAGATTTCGGTAGTGAGTCCAGGGCTATGGGCCAGGACTGAGGTGCTAAGTCAGGCCATAAGGTGCTCATCCTGTGCAAGGTAGGTGTTTGCTTTCCCATGCATCAGGCTGAAATATTTATTTACCCATGGCTAAAGTAAAGAGATGCTCCATCTTGTAGGACAGACTTTCTAGTGGCTTGCAGTCATCAACAGAGCTTGGGAAGGTGTTCAGAGCCCCAACTCCAATGTTTGCCTCTGTGGTTGCTCAGGCTCTCCTTGAATATTTTCTTTTTCAGTCCCTTTAAAAGTTGTCTTCTCTTATTAGATGAGTGGCTGGGAAGGTGGTGACTGCTGCAAGCTCTTCACCTCCTGCTCTCCCAGCCAACAAAAGTACTCCAGCAGAATGTGTGATCCATCTTCCATTCTTGAGGTCCCCATCCAAAGTCCACCGAAGTTCTTTGAGCTTATACACTTCCGAATCTGTAGGAGTAGGGGAAGAGTGAGAAGGTGAGGTTGAAAGATACAGGTGTATGGGGCCATGCAAGGGCTTTCCAGCTAGCCAGGGTGACATTCATTCTGGTTCACTTGCCTGCAGTTTGACATGTGAGTTCATAGGAGATTAATTTGTATACATAGGAACTCTTCTAATAAGGGTTATAAAATTCTAGCTCTTCTCTCCCTTGACATATGAAATCGGCTTGCTAAGGAGCAACATTTCTCTCCTTCAAGCAAAGGTGAGCTTTTATTTCAAAGGAAGTATTAATCCCTACCACAGGCACCTGCTTCCAGGACTTCAGCAGGTAAAACTCCCCTCTCTGTGAGGGAACAAGGTTTCTTTATCTCTAAAAACCCTGGTCATATATGTTGTTTGCAGATTGTCACCCTCAGGAACCGGATCGATCAGGCTCAGAAGCAGTAAGTACCTATATCCCCTTCCTAGCTCCTGGCTTGGGGATATCTTCTCAGTGTTCAAAGTAGCAGCTTCAGCCTCAACACCAACATTTTCTTGTTGCAATGAAATGAGGCTAGAGATGGAGGGGCAACTCCCATCCTGCCTCACATTGAGAAAATGAAGGGGAAACTGAAGTGAATGTAACAGCTAACAAGAAAAAATCATGTTTCTTCACACCATGTCAGCAAAATTTCCATCTGCTTATTGCCGGGGTTTTCAAACACCTGACTGAGGTGCTTTGAATACTTGAAGGAATACAACCGTTGTTTACGAAGGGTAAACAAGTGGTTGCTAGGATTATAAGGAATGGTGTGTAACAAGACTAACATCATGGAATTACTGCTGTAAGTTCTTTTCACTCATCATCTCTCTCCTACTTTCCTTCCCCACAAGACTTCTATTTCATTAGATTTTTTGAGTCTTACATCTTTAACTATTCTAGGTGTTTACAGTGAAGTTATGAGACACCAGGGCTAGACAAAGCCTGGAGGCTAGGACATGTAGAAAATCTAACAGACACAGAGAAGGAACTGCAGGGAAGCAAGGGAGGAGAGCTCTGTAGCGGTGGGATTTGACCTTCACTGTGCTTCTGTATGTTCATTGCAAAGTCATGCCAGGAATGAAGTGGTGGTCTTTGGTGACATCTTTGGATGATGGCAGTGACCAGACGCTGTTTTCCCACTTCCCAAGCCACCCTGCCTTATCAGATGAATGTAACACTGGGGGCTCAGTTGTGTGTAGATGCCAAACAAGGCTTGACCTTCCCGTGATATTTTCTGTACAGAGCTGTAGGCTGATAAACCTCAGCAGAATGTGCAGCTGTAGAAGGATGCCATGGTTTGTCTGGGTGTTGCTACTCTTGTGAGGGGCACTACCACACCACCCACAACAGGCGGTACCATTACTGCATGCTTGTTCCCCCAAAAGACATGATACTCTCTCAGGACATCATTTGAAAAGGTTGCACGGAGAAGCCCACAGCTCATGAGATTTCTGTGTGCTTAAATTTCTATCCACACTAGACTGTATCATTCTGAAGCAATGTCTGCTAATGTGTTATACAAGGATCAAATGATCCTTTTGCTTCGGACTTTATTAAGTCTCCTTAAGCACACTCTAAAGGTTAGGCATAACATCAAACATCACAGGCGCTTGTGGAGATAAAAGGACTCTGCCTTCACTTGAGGAGCTATGCAGTTCCTATACTGGGTTTTGAACCTGTGGAGAGGCTGGCAAAAGGGACACTGAGATGAATTTAAGATAAGCAGAAAACTCTCTGCTCTCACTCACATAAAAGGTCAATTTTTCGAACAGACCAAGTCTAACTTGGTCAAAAGGTAAAGTATCCACTGTATGTATGTCTGTGTCACCGTGCTACACCCTTCCGTAAATATGGCTAGTGCTCTTGAACAAATCCATGGGGCAGCACCACAAAAATCTCCCCAGATGTATCCTCCACATTTTTTTCTGCTCCCTGGAAGAACCAGTGGTTCTGAAGAAGGCAAGGCCTGTTGATAGCAAGGCCCCACCACCTTGTGCTTGGCCCCCAACCCCATGCTCTGCCATTTCAAAGAGCTGCCCCCAGTTTGCATGTGCTTTGGTTCAAGAAGCAGCCTCATCATCCTGTGTGTGAGATGGAAAGGTTTGGTGGTATGCTGAGCCCCAAAAGCCAACGTGCTGCCTATGGGAGCCGGTGCAGAATCTAACCCGACTAACTTCATGCCTGGCCCCTCTCTGACTCCAGGTGTGCCCGCTTCTCAGTCAGAAGGTAAGTGGCTTGCATGTAGGATTGTCCTTCTGTGTGTAAGAGGATACTCTTTGGAGAGAGTTTGCCTCAGGTGCTTTGCGTGGGGAGTGTAGCTGGAGTGCTCCCACACACACCACAAGCAAGATGGGGATACTGATATGAGGGGAGCCCTAAAAAGTTGTTTGCTGTTTTGGAGGCTCTCAGTCTCATGATATAAGGAAGAAGCGACTCTGCCTTTGCTAGAGCAAAGCAATTCTTAGTTGTGTTTAAATTATTGCTCAGCTTTTTGCCTCCACTACTAGAAAACTACAGCATCTGGGATTTGACCAGAGCTCCCTGATAATGAGGAAATTTTCTCCAGAAACAGCTCTAAATCCTAAAATCCAGATCATAACAGATTTGAATTTAGGAAACATCAACTCTGTGGCTGGATAGGCCTGTCATTTAGTTTTGAGAGCACCTGGACTTCTGTCCTGATAATGCAGGAATCTGAAGGGTCCACCTCTTTCAGGCACGCACATCCTGGCCTTTCACTAAGAGCCTGAGGAGGAATCTCTTTCCACAATATCGACACTATTTTTCTCAGGATGTGCTCTACGGCAGGTGTGCCCAACATAGAATAAGTGAAAGCAGCTCGATCCTAATCTGAGAGTCAGAAATATGCAGTGGTCACAGAGCCCCACCACCTCCATCATGTTGACATATTCTTCTTTCCTTTTGTATTGCAGCAGCAAGAAGGCAGGAGCCAAGGGCAAGGTTGGCGGGCGCTGGAAGTAAAGAACCAAGCAGTATGGCCCTTAGTGGCATGCCGAAACCCTACTGGTGTCCTCTTTCTTCCTTCACCAATCACTCGTGTTCCCATGCCTCAATGATAACAAAAATCGCAAAATCAGCCTGGGTTGGCTATTGCTGCTGCTTTCATTCTTTTTCTTCCTGGAGGGGTCTGGCAGCTTCCTCAGTCAAAAGGAAGCAGGTTCCCTGTGAAGCTGAGATGATTGCTGAGCATGTCCTCTATCCTCCTGATACCAGCCCTATCCTGTCCTGTAGATTGCTGTGTACAAATCTCTGGATTTTGTAAATAAAGCGCAACCAGTAGCTACTCCAATGACAGCTCTCTGGAATGGTGTTTCGTACTTTATTTAATGGCATCCCATTTTGCAAGGATTTGGGACTTGGTCCAAACCCTTATTGAATATCATTTGATCCACGTCTACACCTGTGAATAAGGCTCAGTATCAACAAAGACCCAGGATCACAGGCCTGTTTTACAGCCACCATACAAGCAGATAACAAAAGCCGACTCTGTTCTGAGGGAGCTCACAATCTGGATGCCAAATGTAGTTGAAGTTGACTTAAAAGTTTGCGTGATGAAGGGAATCAAATAATCAGGAACAAAGGAACAAATCCATAGAAGTGATAGTTTTCAACACACAGCATTTCCTAAATGCAGACAAGTCACAGAACAATATAGAGAATGATTCATTCAAATATTACATTAAAATGTTTATTGAGGCAGTTAACCTACATATAATATTAAAGCCCAATACTGAAGTGTGAATTACTTGGTAATTCAGTGTAGATGTCAAAACACAAATGGCTGTTACTAAATTTGGGATGTGAACTGTTCTGTAGGGCCTGTTGTCTTTGCCAACCCTTGAAATGCCCTGTTGGAGGGAAGCCCTCCAGGGATGGTGGTTCTCACCAATGTTTCCAAACTTCTGGCTGTTTCTGGTGCCTGCATTCACACTCGCTCTCTGTTAGCACATGCTGTGACATCATAGATTCCTAAGAGTGATTTAATCTTTCACTAGATCAGGTTGCACAAAGCCCCATCCAACCAGACCTTGAACAATTCCAGCGTGATGGGGCATCCACAGCTTCTCTGGGCAACATGATCCAGCATCCCACCACCCTCACTGTAAAAGGGTTCTTCCTTATGTCCAGTCTAAACCCACTCTCTTTCAGCTTAAGGTGTTGCCCCTTGCCCTGTCACAACAGGCCTCAGTAAAAAGGCCGTCTGTCTTCCTTTTAGCCACCCACCTCACATATTGAAAGGCTGCAATATGGTCTCCCCAGAGCCCTCTTTTCTCCAGGCTGAACAACCCCAGCTCTCGCCACCTTTCCTCACAGGGGAGGTGCCCCCGCTCTCCCACCATTTTCCTGGCCCTCTAGACCCGCGCTAACAGGCCCATACCTGTCTTGTGCTGGGGACCCCCGAGCTGGACACAGCACCCCCGCTGGGGTCTCACCAGAGCAGAACAGAGGAGGAGAATCACCTCCCTCCTGTAACGATGAGGCAAAGACCGCGTGTACATTGCCAAGGCTACAAATTCCCCCTAAGGTGCCGTTTTTCAGGCGCTTCCCCTGCCCCTTGGCCTTGCGGCTCCTCTGGGGAACCTTCCCCTG